GGGCGTCGGGCGTGATGGCGCGCTGGCGTCGGCAGTGCGAGCGTGATGGACCCTGGCCGCAGCAGCCGGGCCCAGGGGGTTGAGGCAACGTGGCATCCATCAGGGAGAGCAGTGGGATCGTACCACGAACGCCCAAGCCCGATCCGGAGGCCTTGTGGACTCGTGGCGTCTCTCCTGCGTCCTTGTGACGCGCCGGTGTCCGCGCCTCCCGGCCCGGCGCCGCCCTAACCCCTAGCCCTACCCCTAATGCCTAAATCCCCTGCAGCGTTAATACCATAGACCTTAAGGTATGTATTTAGTATTTTATGTGCTGCCCCAAGCCCGCAGCCGCACATTGAGTTGCCTGACGAGTTTGCGGTTGGTGCCGGCTGCCGCAGCGCACCCTTCCAGTGTTGAATATTTACCGGTATGGGAGTTTTTGGCTATTCTGTATTCAAACCCTAGGCCTGAACTAATCAAAAGGTGGTACGGGATACCAGTTGCCTCACGGAAATCAAAGCGAGTCGGAGTGCCTTCTTGGTGGCAAAATCGGCAAAATCGGCAAAATGCCGGGTATTTTGCGGGTATACCTGGACGGGTAATACCCGCACTTTTGCATGGTTTCGCCCCCGGGACCACACCGACAGCCGCTACAACTAATGAAAACCCCGCATACCACTTTCGCATACCACTATACCATACCACTCCAAAACTAATCAAAATATCACCAAATACCGGTCTCATACCGGTAAATATTCAACACTGCACCCTTCCGTTTTTCTACATTCAATCCCGCGAGTATTTTTCGGGGGCGCGCACACATGCACACAGATATATGCTACAACCTACAACAACGGCCGCACGCTCAACACGTCGGTATGTGTGTGTGTGCGTCAAATGCTCATTATGAATGTGAGTGCGCGCGATCAGATGCATCTCGGCCGATCGGCCCTTCCCCCCCCCCCCCCCCTCTCCCGCACCTCTCCACCCCGTGTTGCGACGGCGCCCTCGCGCCTCCGCCGCGCGTCACCTCCCCGCCAACGCGTCCGACAGCATCGCCATGTCCTCCGACTGCAGGTAGACGTCCGCCTTGGCCTCGACGCAGAGAGGGCAGACGAATGAGTCGTCCGTCGACGGCTGCTGCGCGGGAGGCAGGCAGCCGAGGTGGAGCCAGTTGTCGCACACGTCGCAAGCCACCATCAGGGAGCCGTCGTCGACGCGGCCGCGCTTGCAGCCGGGCAGGCAGTAGTGCGTTCCGCTGCTGCTCGACGGGTGCAGCATCTCGTGCACAATCATCATCGTCGAGTACCTGCGGCCGGGTTGGCATGGCTCGGACGTGTGACGCGAAGTGTCGGTGGCGTCT